AAGAACACACCAATACAAAACAATATAGTATTCAAATGAGGATAAAGAACCATAAAATATTATCCTAAATGAGAAAAAAAGAACAATAATATATATCCTAAATGAGGATAAAGAACTAATATGCATCCTAAAATAGAGAAAAGAACCACAATATACTTATCCCAAATGAGGATAAAGAACATATGTAACACTCCTAATGAGAGGATAAAGAACAATAATATCTTATCTCTTGAGGATGAACACAATATCATATCTAAATGATGATAAAGCCATAATATGCTATCCCAAATGAGTGATAAAGAAATATAATATGTATCCTAAATGAAACAACAATATGCATCCAAATGAGGATAAGAACCAATAATATGTATCTAAATAAGACAAAGAACGTAATAATATATCAAATCGAGGATAAGAACAATAATGTATCCCAAAATGAGGAAAAGACCAATCAACTATCATGATGAGGATAAAGAACAAAATATATCCCAAATAGATAAGAACAAAAATATATATCCTAAATGAGGATAAAAAACACATAATATATACAAATGAGGATAAAACAATAATATATATCCTAAATGAGGATAAAACATAATATGTATCCTAAATGAGAGAACAAAGACGCACCAAAAATAAAAACTCCATGATATCCTAAATGAGGATAAGAACAATAATATATATCCTAAATGAGAGATAAACGAATATATATACCAAAATGAGGATAAGAACAATAATATATCCTAAATGAGATAAAGAACAATAACATATACAAATAGGATGAACATAATATATATCCTAAATGAGATAAAGAACAATAATATGTACTCTAAATGAGGGATGAAACAAAATATGTATCCCAAATGAGGGATAAAAGAACAATAATATGTATCCTAAATGAGATAAAGAACAATAATATATGTCTAAATGAGGATAAGAACAATAATGTAACATCCAAATGAGGATAAAGAACATAATATGTATCCTAAATGAGGGATAAAGAACAATAATATGTATCCTAATAGAGATAAGAACAATAATATATTATCCTAAATGAGGATAAAGAACAACATATATATATCCAAATGAGGATAAAAACAATAATATATATCCTAAATGAGGATAAGAACAATATATATGTCCTAAATGAGGATAAAAAAAAAAAGAACAATAATATGTATCCTAAATGAGGATAAAGAACAATAATATGTATCCTAAATGAGGATAAAGAACAATAATATGTATCCTAAATGAGGATAAAGAACAATAATATGTATCCTAAATGAGGGATAAAGAACTATAATATGTATCCAAATGAGGATAAAGAACTATAATATCTGTGGAGATTGTTTGTACTGTGTATCTGACCAGCGCACCAGTGGTACTCAGAGCAGGTGAGGCCGAGCTGTGATTTGGTTAGTGAGGTAACTGAGGAACACTACGCTACTCCCATCACTGGTTAGGTGAGGTAACTGAGGAAACACCTACACATCCCATCACTGGTTAGGTGAGGTAACTAGGAAACACCTACACTACTCATCACTGGTTAGGTGAGATAACTGAGGAACACCTACACTACTCCCATCACTGGTTAGGTGAGATAACTGAGGAAACACCTACACTACTCCCATCACTGGTTAGGTGAGGTAACTGAGGAAACACCTACACTACTCACATCACTGGTTAGGTGAGATAACTGAGGAAACACCTACACTACTCACATCACTGTTAGGGTGAGATAACTGAGGAACACCTACACTACTCCCATCACTGGTTAGGTGAGGTAACTGAGAAACAACTACACTACTCACATCACTGGTTAGGTGAGATAACTGAGGAACACCTACACTACTCACATCACTGGTTAGGTGAGATAACTGAGAAACACCTACACTACTCCCATCACTGGTTAGGTGAGGTAACTGAGGAAACACTCCATACTACTCACATCACTGGTTAGGTGAGATAACTGAGGAAACACCTACACTACTCCCATCACTGGTTAGGTGAGATAACTGAGAACACCTAACTACTCCCATCACTGGTTAGTTGAGGTAACTGAGGAAACACCTACACTACTCCCATCACTGGTTAGGTGAGATAACTGAGGAAACACCTACACTACTCACATCACTGGTTAGGTGAGGTAACTAGAAAACCACTACTCCCATCACTGGTTAGGTGAGGTAACTGAGGAAACACCTACACTACTCCCATCACTGGTTAGGTGGGAGGTAACTGAGGAAACACCTACACTACTCACATCACTGGTTAGTGAGGTAACTGAGAAACACCTACACCACTCCATCACTGGTTAGGTGAGGTAACTGAGAAACACCACACTACTCACATCACTGGTTAGTGAGGTAACTGAGAAACACCTACACTACTCCCATCACTGGTTAGGTGAGGTAACTGAGGAAACACCTACACTACTCCCATCACTGGTTAGGTGAGGTAACTGAGGAAACACCTACACTACTCCCATCACTGGTTAGGTGAGATAACTGAGGAAACACCTACACTACTCCCATCACTGGTTAGGTGAGGTAACTGAGGAACACCTACACTACTCCCCATCACTGGTTAGGGTGAGGTAACTGAGGAAACACCTACACTACTCCCATCACTGGTTAGGTGAGGTAACTGAGAAACACCCACACTACTCCCATCACTGTTAGGTGAGGTAATCGAGGAAACACCTACACTACTCCCATCACTGGTTAGGTGAGGTAACTGGAAACACCTACACTCCCATCACTGGTGAGAATGAGAAACACCACACTACCCATCACGTTAGTGAGGTAACTGAGAAACACCCACACCTCCCATCACTGGTTAGGGTGAGGTAACTGAGGAAACACCTACACTACTCCCATCACTGGTTAGGTGAGATAACTGAGGAAACACCTACACTACTCCCATCACTGGTTAGGTGAGAACTGAGAACACTCACACTACTCCATCACTGGTTAGGTGAGATAACTGAGAAACACCTACACACTACATCAGTTAGGAGAAACTAGAAACCTCACATACTCCCATCACTGGTTAGGGTGAGATAACTGAGAAACACCTACACTACTCACATCACTGGTTAGGTGAGATAACTGAGGAAACACCTACACTACTCCCATCACTGGTTAGGTGAGATAACTGAGGAAACACCTACACTACTCCCATCACTGGTTAGGTGAGGTAACTGAGAAACACCTACACTACTCCCATCACTGGTTAGGGTGAGATAACTGAGGAAACACCTACACTACTCCCATCACTGGTTAGGGTGAGATAACTGAGAAACACCTACACTACTCACATCACTGGTTAGGTGAGGTAACTGAGGAAACACCTACACTACTCCCATCACTGGTTAGGTGAGGTAACTGAGGAAACACCTACACTACTCCCATCACTGGTTAGGTGAGGTAACTGAGGAAACACCTCCACTACTCCCATCACTGGTTAGGTGAGGTAACTGAGGAAACACCTACACTACTCCCATCACTGGTTAGGTGGGGTAACTGAGGAAACACCTACACTACTCCCATCACTGGTTAGGTGGGGTAACTGAGGAAACACCTACACTACTCCCATCACTGGTTAGGTGGGGTAACTGAGGAAACACCTACACTACTCCCATCACTGGTTAGGTGAGATAACTGAGGAAACACTCTACACTACTCCCATCACTGGTTAGGTGAGATAACTGAGGAAATACCTACACTACTCCTCATCACTGGTTAGGTGATAACTGAGGAAACACCTACACTACTCCCCATCACTGGTTAGGGTGGAGATAACTGAGGAACACCTACACTACTCCCATCACTGGTTAGGTGAGATAACTGAGAAACACCCACACTACCACATCACTGGTTAGGTGAGGTAACTGGAGGAAACACTCACACCAGCTACTCCCCATCACTGGTTGTGGGTGAGGTAACTGGAGGAACACTCTACACTGCCCCATCACTGGTTAGGTGAGGTAACTGAGAAACACCTACACTACTCCCATCACTGGTTAGGTGAGGTAACTGAGAAACACTTCCACACTATCACATCACTGGTTAGGGTGAGATAATCTGAGGAAACACTCTACACTACTCCCATCACTGGTTAGCAGGAATTGAGGAAACACCCACATCATCTCCCATCACTGGTTAGGGTGAGGTAACTGAGGAAACACTCACACTTACTCCCCATCACTGTCAGGGTAACTGAGGAAACACCTACACTACTCCCATCACTGGTTAGGTGAGGTAACTGAGGAAACACCTACACTACTCCCATCACTGGTTAGGTGAGGTAACTGAGGAAACACCTCCACTACTCCCATCACTGGTTAGGTGAGGTAACTGAGGAAACACCTACACTACTCCCATCACTGGTTAGGTGAGGTAACTGAGGAAACACCTACACTACTCCCATCACTGGTTAGGTGAGGTAACTGAGGAAACATCACACTACCCCATCACTGGTTAGGGGTGAGGTAACTGAGAAACACTCCCCATACTAATTCTACTCACTGGTTAGGTGAGGTAACTGAGGAAACACTCTACACTACTCCCATCACTGGTTAGGGTGAGGTAACTGAGTGAACACTCACACTACTCACATCACTGGTTAGGTGAGGTAACTGAGGAAACACCTGTCTACCATCACTGGTTAGGTGAGATAACTGAGGAAACACCTACACTACTCCCATCACTGGTTAGGTGAGGTAACTGAGGAAACACCTACACTACTCCCATCACTGGTTAGGTTTAGGTAACTGAGGAAACACCTACACTACTCACATCCCTGGTTAGGTGAGGTAACTGAGGAAACACCTTCACTACTCCCATCACTGGTTAGGTGAGGTAACTGAGGAAACACCTACACTACTCCCATCACTGGTTAGGTGGGGTAACTGAGGAAACACCTACACTACTCCCATCACTGGTTAGGTGAGGTAACTGAGGAAACACCTACACTACTCCCATCACTGGTTAGGTGAGGTAACTGAGGAAACACCTACACTACTCCCATCACTGGTGGCATCCTTGGTCTGGTTGAGGAGATAATCAATAATGTTAGCTCCGTGGTTTGCATGAATGAGTCCCAAGGAGTAGAGTGAGCCGCTCTCGGCATATCCCGGACTGTTGGATTCCTTGGGTAAGTGCGCCTGCATTAGTGTGAGCGCTTCCTTCTAGTGGCCTCGATGAATCACTCCTAGAGAGGCAGTGGCCGTCATCTTGGCCCAGTTCGTTGCTCGAGATAACCACTCCAAATTATCCCTGGAAGAAACATGTATGTATAATATGGGGTTCATATAAACACAAATTTGTCTCCATAAATGAAAATTGTTCTTTTATCTTTTTGAAGCTTCTTCTTACTAATAATACAGAATGTGGGTAGAGCTGAGAGAGTAATTGGAAGTCCTACATATAATGATGGCAACTGGGACACCATGCCAACGGGTAATGACGGCTAACTCATACAAGTGATGATGATAATGAAGATGAACACTGAACACCCTCCTTAGAGCCACACAAAATAGAACTGTCATACAGAAGCTCAGAAACACTCTCTTCTTTACTCTGAGATCTTCCTCCCCCAGACGGTGACTTAACTCCTTGGGAGAAACGTTTCCTCTCAAAACATCCGACCAATTGTCCAAGACTGATATGGTTCACAGCTGGAGCAAGGAACATTACTCTATGACCGAGCACTTGGCTCTCCCTCCAAGCCTGAATAAAGTTGAATTGAATTGAATTGATACAGTTTATTTAGCCAGAAAAACACAGATACAGAGTGAATAATAATAACAATATTAACATGGCTGAGCCAGTTGAGAACCTGAGCTCTCTTTTAGGCACCTGATATATACTATACAGTGAACCCTCACTTTACGCGGACAATTGAACCCAAGGCGGCCTGCGTAAAGTGAGAAACGAGTAAAGTGAACAACATAACATATGGGATTAATTGAAATAGAGACCGGGCCGAACCCCAAACTCCACTTTTTCAGACACAATACCTACTTTGTAGTAAAAATAACTTCTTAATTTTATGATGGTATGCACACACATTTTAATAATTAAGAGAAATATCAATAATATTAGGTTTTTTAACACTTACATTAGTAGAAAAGATGGCTGGGCACACGGGGATGGGGGGTTGGTTCCGAGGCAGAGGGCAGATTATTGGCCCTCACCTGTATCACTTGTATCAATTGTATCACTATCCACCACAGAGGCTTGCAGGGCCTCTTTGTCAAACCCCTCAAAGTCCATATAAGTCCATATCCTCACTATCATTATCACTATCACTGACTTGGGCCGACTGTGGTGGGTTGCGGGTGAAGAACTCGGTAATGTTTTGATGACTGGGCGACATTGTGCGCACCCTGCTCGCGCCGCTCTCCGCGTAAAAGGGTACACACACCGCGGAAAGTGAGCATTCCGGTTTCGGCAGGGTACCGCGTAAACGTGGAAACGTACAGAAGTGTTCGCAGTTTAGGCTGACTGTACATTAATCTCAAGGAAGTATTATGTAACATTTACTATCATATGGAATAGTATAATAGCATGGTGGTAATAAGAACATCTCATAATGTTACCATGGTTATCACTTCAATATTTATTAATTTTATTTATTTATTTTTTTTATATATACTGTATACATAAATTACAGTGGAATTGAAAAACATAAGTATAACGGGGGAGCAGTACAACATGGGTTGTATAGTAATAAGGTTGAGCAAGAGGACAGAGCTGTCAGGACTATGTAACTTAGCTGGTTAGGCCTATTACAGTTTAAATGTGCACCACACAACCACCTCTGCTGTAAGTTTACTTTATCCTCTTTACCACTGATTGTAAAGTTGATTTCAGCTGAGAATATTTAGGATCAATAATGAAAGCATAAAAAAGGTAAAATTATACAATATAATGCACACAGTGCACTGCAGCTCAGCTGGGATGTGCTGCCTCTGCCAACTGACCCTCAGCAACGGTTGCTAAGGGTCAGTCGGCAGAGGCACACATCCCAAACCCCCTCCCCTGCTCAGTACACGAGGCAGCTGAGGCCGAGAGGCAAGGGTGGAAGAACCTTACAGTATTTTACAGCATATAAGACGCACTCTTTTATCTGAAAAATGGCTACAAAATACTGGCCTGCATCCTATATGTGAAGTTATGGTGTCCCGTAGGCTAATGACCCCCCAGTTGCTGTCCCCGGTAGGCTAAGTTCTACCTCACCCAACTCCAGAATTAAAAATATATTATTGCTTACTTAAACACATTGTTTTTATTTTTAATTAACGAAATAATTATCATAAATATAAGAGTTGGATTTATAACTACCGTACCGATGACGACGACCCGAGACGATTAGCATCTGTACGGCAGGCGACCAACTCTTCAGAGATGAGCAGTAACCATTTCTCACCTCTTACAAGCATTACTATTTATTAATGTCATACCTGCAACATTTATTTTCAAATCTACAAATACCTGATATAAATGAAGATTTACAGATAAAGTAACTTTCTTTTCACATTTGCGTCTGTAAACATCGCTGGTGTCATTGTAGCCAAGTTAGACTCGTCACTGTAACCACCAGGCTACTGGACCAAGCTGTGAGGTGTTATGGTTGTGTTTCAACTCGTAGTTTTGGGTAGATATACAGTAAAGCCTCCGATAACAACGGTTCGACCAACAACTTTTCATATTTAAAACCCTAGTTAATTTAGGACCCAATTAAATTTATGTCCTTTCCTTATTTCATTCGTATTTACGACCAAAATATAATAAAAATAAAATAAAATTACATTTTCATATAAATAATTACTAAATCCTGATATGTATTATAAAAACAAAATTACTGTGAAAAAAATAAAGAGAGCCTTACGCAAAGAAGCTGCCTGGCTAACGAGTGGTAAACAACAGTCGGAGCTTGGCGGGCCTTTTGTTTTCACGCATACTGGAACAGGAACAGAAGAAAAACTTTCTCAGGTTTCTTACAGCATTTTTCCATCCCTATTCAACATGAGCAAGAGAGCAAGTGATGGTAGTGTTGTTTCAAAAGCTAATAGAAAGTGTATAAGCTTAGCCGAGAAACTAGATGTGTTAAAACGATATGAAAAAGGCGAGAGGTCTGTGGATATTATATGGAACAAGCAATGAACATATTTTCTGAAGTGGATCCATTAACAGAACAAAGAATTAAAATTTAAATAAACACATATGACCTCTACATAAAGATGTATAATGAGAAAATAAAGCAACTGTGCAAGGTTCTTTAGACAGCTTTATTATTCAAAGGACTAAGCCATCAACTTCAGCATCATAAGCAGCTTCAGCAAAAACTTCAGGTTCAGTAACAGTTTCAGCAACAGCTTTATGGAAAGCTACAGCTTCAGCCAGAGTTGAACCTGATGACTTCCTCATCTGAGTAAAAACTCGCACAATATTCATCGGTTGTCCTTATGTTTTAGACTTTACCACTATTGGTGAGTAGAATTTTTGTTCTACATTCGTAAATATATTTAAAACATATATGAACAGTAAATAAGTGTTGCTTTCATATTTTTATGTTGAGAAATGACGATATGTTTTCACATGTACAGTGGGGGTATGCTATAACGAACGGATCCTACTACGAATATTCCTATAACGAACGGTTTTACCTATAAAATTGAGAATGCTATAACGAACGAAACTCCTACAACGAACATTATTATTTTTTTTTTTTTTTACTAATTTATTGATTTTTTATTACAAGCATTAATGATATTCTTTATTTCAGGGGTTTAGATGCATATTTATGCACTTTTTTACAATTTTTACAATTTTATATTATATTTTCTAGTGTTAAGTGGTTGTATTTGGGGGCCTGGAACGGATTAATCCTATAACAAACGAATGCTATAACGAACAAGGTTCTAGAACCAATTAGATTCATTATAGCATACCCCAATCGTCTCACCTTATATCTTTACCATTAGTGGTTAGCTACTTCTAGTGTTCCATTTATTAATATTAAATAACGTTACTTAAAACATATACTGTACCGGTATATTCATTTTTTTACAACCAGGGTCTCATTTTCTTCATTGTCTCGTGTAGAACTATCGTCCCGAACTCCCGGATGGAAACACAAACGAAAACAATGGCGTCCCATCTCCTCTCGTGTGACCATATTATTATTCATTTATATTGTATAAGGACCATTCAGAAACATTATTTAAAGAATATAGTTTGCACTTTTCATTAATTGTATTGTTTTGGGGGAAAAGAGGGTAAAACGCCACACAAAAGATATGAAAAGGTCACACTTGGGAACGCATCTCATTATTATTGCTTTATTTTAATGGTAATTAATGATTCGCTATAAGATGATTCACCTCACACTGCAATATTGGAGGACACATTAACGACGTTATTCGAGGCTTTACCGTACATAACTTTCTTCATTTATTTCTACTCAATTACAGGCACACACCGTCCTACATACTTATTGTAAAAAAGGAAAAGTAATATTTGTCATAAGGACAAACACAAAGGGAGCGGGAGGAGGGTGCAGAGTGGGGGGGTTGCTAGGGAGACAGTGGAGGCTGCGTCCCTCATGGTCTATGGTGAACCAGGGAGTGTATGTAAATGGTGACTGTGTTAAACATTCATTTGACTTTTATTTACTGGTTTGGCAATAGAGTATTTTCTGTTGCAACTTATTTACTGTTATATATTCCTCACATTTACTGGTACTGTATACAGTATATTATTCTAAGAAAACTATGGCTACAGGAGGAAAATACACACTAAAGTTTTGACCTTAATACTGGGGGGTGGGTGGCCGTGTGTCTTATATGGCGTTATCTCCCCCAGCCATACACTCACTGTTTCCTAAGCCAAGAGCATTAAGTTGAATGTGCGTAAGATGCGACATGACTGTATTAGCAATAAAACAGGACAACACACTTACCATTACTTCACTCCTCAGACTGTCGTTCTTAATCAGCTTGTCGAGTATTGAAGCGACCTCGTGGGGTTTGTCCAAGTGGATCAAACACTGACACATGTTGACGCAGTCTGGGGTGTCCAGACCTTGGTACAACGACACCAACTGTTCCAAAACTTGGTCGTGGAACTTGCGCTGCTCTATGTATTGCATGGCTATCTTGTACGAGTAGGTCAGACTCCCTACGATGTCATCCTGTAATATAATATAAACTAATATTCTTTTTCTCATATAAATCATGATAATTGACCATCTCATAACAGTAGAGTACATTCAGATACTTATAATGGTCACTTGTGATCTGAGAGTACTGTACAGCACAGTATCTGCCTAGACACCTCATACTGGCCTCTAAACACAGGACAGAGGGAAGCAAACCTTTCATAATACCAGCTGCTTACAAACTTTAGTTCAACACTTGACATAATGTGATAACAAAGCAAGATTGAGAACCTTATACTGATAATACTTCACACACACACACACATAATAATAATAATAATAATGGTTGCCCCTTGTGTTCGAGGATGGCTGACCCAAGGGCCACCTTGGCGTGAATTTGTTTAAGGTGTAGAAGCTGCCACCAACACAGCAACCACACCCTAAGTTAACGTGACCCAGTGTTTAAGGTGTAGAAGCTGTGACCTACTATACTAGTACTACTACTTTGCTGTCACCGGAATCAGTATGACGACAATCCAGCTATGATACAATAATATGAGATATTAAGGATGTCACCTTAGCTGGTGAGCTCTGAGGTGACTCAAGAGGCCTATACGATATTGAGAGGGCCATCCAGAGATGTTGCATGTGGAGGCTACATACCTGGAACAAGAGTTTGAAAGATAAATATATACAGTAGAGTAGAGTACAGCCTTACTCACAGAGGTCATGATGGCCTCCCTGAACCAGTCCATGCTCAGGGCTATACCTATGGCATGGCGTACTGCTGGTCTTCAATACACCGCTGAAACATGTTGTTGAGGAGCATCTCTAGTCAGGGATCCATCTTGGCATCCTTCTGGGCTCGTAGCTTGATGTAATGATCGATGGCGTGTACTGGGGACACATATAACTGTTATATAAAACCACACACACACACCCCCTTAGTTGTCCTGAAAATTAACTATTTCTTCTCACCTTGTATTCTGATACAGGTAATAACTATAAATTAAAACAGTTTACTGTGATAAGACAATATCAAGAAGGAAGTATCACAAAACACTGAGAAGATTGTCCATGTTCTTACTACAATATACTACTGTACAGGTGGCCAATGATTTATGTATAAGAGCTGCCTAGACAACAGCTCACCTTTGATAGTGTCTCAGTAATGCAGTTGGTTGGGGTCCTGGTGCAACATGGACCTGAGTGCAGGGCATAGGTGAGAGTCAGGGAAAGACCCCAGGTGGAAGTAAACTTTAGACACCAGCAGGGCTGCCAGTTCTTCTTTGGGAAATCTCCATCCTCTTCAAGTTTTTTCTGTTAGTTAGCCATTAAAGCACAAAGTAAGTTATCATTAATAATATACTGTACTGTACCCAGCT